ACTCCAAGAGTTTGAATAATTGGGGTAAAAACAACTTTTAAATGATAACAGCAAGTTCAACTGTAACTGTCATATTTGAATAAACTCACATTAGAACTTCAGAGTTGAAGATAAATAAACCCAGACCTGAGACAATGATAGTGGAAGGAGAAATGAAAGAAAAGTACGAGACTAAGAGTATCGAAGTATCATTCATCATGCCAAGGGGCGTTGGTGGTTACAGGTTATATAGGTTAGACTTTCAAGGAATTAACAAGCTAACCTCTGAATAGAAACAAAATTAGCATTCTATTATTTATTACGCACCCTCTTCCATCCTAAGGAAATCTCCCAAGTATACAGTAAAAATATAAATGAAGCATTTTATAGGAGCAAAAATATCACACGCAACTAGTTTGCAAAAAAATTGCATCAATTTATTGGAGACAATACCATTACATGCAAAGTAAAACTCACAGAGTTAGAGCCTTTGGCCTTTGCTTCTTCAGATGTCCCCAGTTGCTCCACTCTTCCTACCTTGTATCTTCACAATAAGGAAAGAAAAAAGTACAGTGAGTCCACAACCAAAAACAGTGTGGAATGTCAGAATTGACATCTAAAATGAGTGTCAGGGTTAGATTTATGTACACCTATCTGGGATTAGGAGAGATAACAAGTAGTAGACATAGTGTGATCTGATATGCATGCAGTGATTCGTTGTTAAATATGCTCAGACAACTACATAAATTAATTGTATTCGGATATGATACGGTTATATCTCATCCCAATGGCTTTAAAGAGCAGGAATTTTCAATGATCTGGCAATAAAATTCCAACTCCATCCTTACCCACGAGCTACCAATTTCTGAACAGCATCATCAATCCCACTTTCAGAGATACCGACCTGAAGACACAATTATAAATCACTTGCTTTTCAAGATGGACAAATAACCAGAAAGGGTCGAGAAAAAAAGCAATCATTGAGTTAGAACAACCTGCCGACATTTTCCTACACCACTTAATGTCATCTTCCAGTCAAGTTCCTTATGACCAATTTCAGCATCCATTTCATAAAGCTCATAAAATTTACCCTGCAGATGACCATAAGTTGCGGTACAATATAATTTCAAATAATGAATTAAGTATCAAAAACGAAAACAAACAAACAAATAAATAAACTTTGTGGTAGAATAGGCTTTTATATACTGATATTCAAAGTACTGAATTGACCAACCACTTTGAAGAATAGCACAATATCCATGTATTTACACTTGACACCCCAATACTGTTTCTGAGATGCTGACATTTTTTTCAAAACTTCTGGAGGTATATAAAGGGTTGTCCTGTCATATAGAGGATCATCAGGCTTCCTTCCATTAGCATCTCTGATACGAGAAGGATCCAGCCACTCAAACTTGCTAATCAAATCTACTTCCTTTTTGGTCATATTCGGGGATGTTAAATCCTCCAAAAATTTGACTCTTTTGCTAGAATCTAGCAAGGAACTAAACTTAGACCCATCATCTCGGCATCGCTTTGCATGAGAGGCAAGAGGCCGCATCCCTGGGGTTTCTGGTCCAGGAACATCCTCATTATCTTCAACAGGGATGATGTCTTCCTGATCTGCCCTATTGGAAATTGCAACATTATCCTTTATTATAGGTTGAAAAGCTACTTCTTGTTTGCACTGTTCTTTAAGGTTTGTATTCGTACATCTTCCAGATGCTGGCGATGTTTTATTCAATATCTCAGTGGCCGACTGGCTCCTGCAAAAATTTCAAAAGACATTGTTTTACATGAAAACAAATGTGATGAGATGCAAAAGTATCACAATCATCAATATCAATATATATAATAAAAGTCTATAATAAGTTACACCATTTACAAATCATAAACAACGTAGTTTATTATTGAAATTCTATGCAACGCATGTGAAAATGTATGTTTAACATGGTCACAAAAATGAAATTCAGTAAAAATATATTTGAAAATCCGTTACTTTGCTTCAATTTAATCTACGTCGTGACATCAGTTTGTTGAAGCGCCCGCAACTCATCAACACGGACTTCTCATAAATTCTGAGCAACCAAAGAAATATCATCGTTGAAGATAGATGGTACATTAATGTCTCCTTTTGGAATTCAATTAAGACGAAAGTTATAGAATAAATCTTTTCAGTTTTCAATCTCAGGATTACCATTTATTAAATGAATAAAACACGAATGCGATTTCGTTTTAAAGTTTTAAAAACTTGTCTAAACATTTCTGCTTCCCCGGAGATAGTATGCATGGGCAAAGGGGGGGGAGGGGACGATAAAGGAGGTTCAAATTGCATTTAACACTGTACAAATTCTTCCATTAGCGGGGAAAAACTATCTTAGGTAAAAATACATTAAAAATACCTCCGGGTAGCTTTTCCGCCATCATCGTCTCTTACAAATTTATGCATGATCCTCGAAAACGGAGAAGCGCCATTCCTTTTCTCATTTGAAGAGAAAGTGGACGGTAATATCTGACGCGGCACCTTCTCTGGTGGCGTATCAGTTCCCCTGACTTCAGCAGATGAATCATTTGCGGGAAGTGACGCTGGTTGAGTGAAAGCGGCCGGAACATTGAGCTTCTCTTCCTTACCCGAAAATATCGGAGCTCCAGGGCCGCCGCCCAAGTGTCCGGTACCGGAATCAGAGTTTGCCGATGATGATTTTTGGAAGAATGAAAGTAAAGACCTCTGGCGATTCATCTTTTCGACGAGCAAGAAAGAAACAAAGAGTGCCCGAGGACGAAAAAGAGGAAGTTGTAAGTCGCAAAATTTTGGCGCCAAAAATGATTAGCGCGCCAAGCCCATTGAACGAAAATTGGCGAGCGAGCTAGTTTCACTCCACTCTTTTCCAGGGAGAGGCTTCTGGCTCTCAAGCAAAGAACCAAAAGGGGTTCAGATAATTTATCTTATATATTTACTTCGTATATAAAGCAAACAAATCAATCAAATGTTAAAAAAAAAAAATCAAATCAAGAAATTGTTTGAATCAACTTTTGAAAAAACAAATTTTTACTTACATAAAATTTATATCATGTTGAAATTTGAAATGACAAATAGGCATATCAATATATGAAATAATCAAATGGGTATAAGGTATCAATCTGAAATTTTGATAATTCAGTAGAAAAACTAAAATGCTCATGAACCTCTTTGAAGACATGAACAGGTAGTAACTCTTAATATGAAAGTTGTAATTCACATTACAAATATTGTTATTTTCATTACAAAGATAGTGAAATTAGCTCCAAATACATGTTACTTGAGTTTGAAAAAAACAAGTTGTAAATGGCAATAGCGAAATGGTAATTCTCATTACGAAAGTTGTAATTCACATTACAAATATTGTCATTATCATTGTCGGGGTAGTGAAATTAGCTCCAAATACATGTTACTTGAATTTAAAATAAACAAGTTGCAAATGATAATAGTGAGATGGTAACTTTTATTAAAAAAATTGTAATTCACATTATAAATGTTGTCATTATCATTACTAGGGTAGTGAAATTGGCTCTAAATATATGTTATTTGGGTTTGAAAGAAACAAGTTACAAATGGCAATAGCGAGATAGTAACTCTCATTATGAAAATTGTAATTCACGTTGCAAATGTTGTCATTATCATTACCGGGTAGTGAAATTGGCTTCAAATACATGTCAGGGGCGTTTTAGTCTTTCTACCAAATTGTCAAAATTCCAGATTGATATCCCATGCCCATTTGGTCATTTCATATATTTGCATGCCTATTTTGTCATTTCAAATTTCAAATTTCAACAATTCTTTTTTTTCATTTTTCCTATTTATTTTATATATAAAGCGAAATTAATTTTTCAGGACTAATTTGAACGGGCACCAATTCTTTGGTTTTAAAAAAAAAGTGCCAATCTGAAGTTCGCTAGACAATTTATGCAATTATTTGGGATAATATTTAAAAACATTTATAAACACATTTTATGTAAGTTAAAGTAAAACTACTTTCACATAAAAATTACTTTTCACATAAAAATTACTTATCAGTTATTCCAAACGGTTCCATGTCAAACAAATCAACCATAACATCATATTCTTTTTATAATATGAGGTTTCATTCAAATTTATTTTTATTCGATTAAATTAATATTCCTCTATATATATTTCAGAACAGTTAAAATAATAAAATGATATATAATTTACAAAAATAATTAAAATTAAGATCTCTACAAAACAAATGGATACAGTATCCTGGTCAGTTATTAATTAAATGAAATAAAATCAGGAACTTCGAACCCGGCCACTCGTAGTGTATAAAATTTATGAAAGGAAAAAATATTACAGCAACTGTATTATTTATAAATATTTTATATTTTATTTTAAAATTTTTCTATTTTATTTTAAAATTTTTTAATTGAAAATTCAATAAAATCATGATTAATTAATTTTATTGAAGATAGAAATAAAAATTATAATTGATTAATTAATTAATAAAACCTCATTATATTTTTATTGCCTATGAAATATTACTTACGGTATTTAATACAAGAGCTAATTTAAATATATTAATAAAATTAGTTAATTTAAATATATTAATAAAATTAGTTAATTTAATTATTTATAATAAATATATGTTATCTTTTTTAAAATATTTTTATTAATAATATGTATTAACTAAAATTATTGTTTGATAAAATTTTTGACATCTGTAACTATTAAAATGGATAGAAAGATAAAATTGATTAAAATTTTATATTTAATATTAAATTGGTTTTTACATTAAGTCTCCGCTCCTCAACTCGAGTACCCTTTCTGACTGCTGAGTCAGAATCCACGCAAGCTTCATTACCGATAGATGAATGCCATGTAATCATCTTCCGCCGGATCTCGAACCGAACAGAACCGATCCCATGAAAAACGGTACGTCCTCGAACGTTCCAGAGAAAACTCGGAGCGAAAATATCAAATACTCTCCTGAGAACGTTCCAGATACTCATCACCTATATAAACCTCTCCCATGCCGTTGTTTTCCAGTGTTGTTTGGTGATTCATCATCTTTATTTGAGCGCCATTTTTGTTATTTTTGTACAGAATTGTTGTTCTTCTCGTTTAAGAATGCCAAGCCGATCAACGGGAACCATAACTCAAGACTGGGAACCGGTGGTTCTGCACAAGAACAAACCCAAGACCCAGGACCTGCGCAATCCGAAGGCCGTGAACCAGGCACTCCGATCAGGAGCTGAAGTCCAGACGATCAAGAAGTTCGACGCGGGTTCGAATAAAAAGAATGCTCCGGTCGTCAACGCGAGGAAGCTGGATGAAGAAACCGAGCCGGCTGCTCTGCAGAAGTTAAGGACAGAGGTGAGGACAGCTATACAGAAGGCTAGGTTGGAGAAGAAGATGAGCCAGGCGGATCTTGCGAAGCAGATCAACGAGCGGCCACAGGTGGTGCAGGAGTACGAGAACGGAAAAGCGGTTCCGAATCAGGCCGTGCTGGCGAAGATGGAAAGAGTTCTGGGCGTGAAACTCCGGGGAAAGATAGGCAGCAAGTGAGGATTTAGGCTTCAAATTAGAGGAACTGTAGAATGATTTCCTATCATTTAGCTCTGTTTAGTTGATGTGAACTGGGAAAGGATAAAATCAGGATCATATGATCTTGCGTGTGGGAAGAGATCCTGTGTAAATTGACTGTTTCGATTTAATTATAATGAAACCTTTATGTAGAAATTGTCTATAATCAAGAGCTGAATTAGCAAACGATTAGGTGCAAAAATCACCACAGGATTTCTTCAAACAGAGAGAATTCTGGAAACTCATCGAAGCTCGAGGTTGTAGAATGAGATAAATTCAGAGCCATGGCGAATTGTAAATGGGAGTGACGACAGATTTGATTTGGAGGTACTTGTGAAGAGCTTCCATTCCAGACTCTCTACCAAATCCGCTCATCTTATAGCCTCCATAAGGGCAATCGAGGCTGAACACGAGGTAGCAGTTAATCCAGATGGTTCCTGCTCGGATGGACCTTGACATTGCGTTCGCTATATTTAAGTTGTTGGTCACAATGCCTGCTGCGAGGCCATACCTGGTGTTGTTTGCCCTCCCGATTGCTTCCTCCATGGTGCTGCGTTTCAAGGACGCAAGAAACCAGAACCGAGTAAATAGCGCGAAATAGAGACGACAGCAAAAGTAGAAATATTGGACACGACATGATTCCGGTATAGATCAAGTTGACGAATATCAGTTGTTAATGGTAACAAATGGGAAAAATAAAAGGAATTGTGAAATGGGATTTATATTATATCTAAAAAATGAGAATAAATGTTGATTCATGTAAGCTGATTACTTAATTAGTTGTGATGTGTTGTAGTCAGAATCATATTAAATTAGGTAGGCAAAAAAAAAATCAATATAAGAGGTTGTTGATTAATTTAAGTGAATTAAAATGATTTGGTTTAAATTGATTAAAAAATTTGTTAAGTTATTCTTTATAATAAATAGATTTTTTTAAATACTAATAATGTGTATTAGTTAGAACTATGGTACGATGAAATCTTTAAAATATGTTATTATTATAGGAACTATTTTAGAAAAGAAATATAAGAAATAAAATGAATTAAAATCTTATATTTAGGATTAAATTGAAAGTTAAACTAGTTTGGTACTCCCTGGTAAAAAAAAAACTAGTTTGGTACCCTCTCTGTCTTTTTATTTTATTTTTATAAACAACAACTACCATTATTTTCTTATTCCTAAATATAAGTAATATTTACAAGTTGTCTTAAAATTTTATAGCAAATTTTCTATTTTACCCCATTAATTACTTATTTCAATACTCAATATATTTATTATCACATCTACCACACTATCATTTTTTTTCATCAAATATTTTCTCTTTCATAATTTTTTTATTATAATAATTTTTTTATACTCTCTCCTTTTAAAGATATTTTGAAAAAAAAAAACTTTTAATTTTTACCTATTTATTATCTTTAACTAACATTTTTATTTACATAGTGGAGTCTAATGTTGCGGATGGAGTATTAAATTAGCTGTTTGCGTGAAAACACCAAATGGAATTGAAACACATGAGATTAGAGGTGTGATTGAATTTGTGAAGCCATTTATGCTGCTACAGAATAAAATCATCAATGCTACCTATGTTTTCTTGTACACCTTGATCTTCTTTTTTCCATTTTAGATCGGCGCTGTACAGTAGTTAAATTACTTTAACTGAGAGTAAATTAATGTGTTGCAGGAGAAGTAAGGATTAAGACACAAGTCATCTATGTCCTATGTTTGCCATTTCAAAAAAAAAGAAGAAGAAGGCAAAATGTGGATAATTTATCCATTTTTTATTGTTATCCCCATTCCCCATCAAAGAATGTAGAAAAATGTTGCATTAAACCAAATGAATTGTGCGAGAGAAAAAAAGGATAAAAAAGTGTACGTGGCTTAAGAAGATAAACAATTTGACACTAAATTTTATATTTACTTATTGATATTGATTGCTAGAAGTCATGGGGCAGAATTAAGGTTTTGGTGCACACATTTTTTAAAGATATTGCATGGGAAATAATGCAACCATGCTTACCGGAACTTCATTAGTGACATGACAGGTCCAAAGATTTCATCTTGTGCGATAAGCATGTCCTCCTAATCCAGTTTTCATGTCCCAGAGAGATCAGCAAAATGGTAAAGAAAAGTTGATAATTCAAAAAGGCTGTCATACTGAAGCCGATGTTTATGTGATGTTAGAATTAAGTGAACCTACATTGACATTGGCGAAAATTGTTGGCTCGATGTAATAACCCTTGTGGCCCCATCTCTTGCCACCCGTCAGAAGCCTGGCTCCTTCCCTCTTTCCATGCTCAATATATGAAATTACTTTATCAAACTGTTTCTTGTCAACCTGTAGAAAATTATAAGCATTCTTAGGAGAAGCAAGACATATTGGTTTGGTGGGTTTCAAAACTTGGGTCTAGTTTTAGTTCTGTTGTGTTTCCTCAATTACCTGTGGTCCTTGTTGCACGTTGGGATCCAAAGGGTCTCCAACTACCCAAGCTTTTGCCTTTTCCACCAATTTCTTCTCAAATTCATCGTAGATCCCTTCCTGAACATATACACGAGAACTAGCAACACAGATTTCTCCCTGTGAGTCACAAATCAAGAAGAAAAAAAATGAATTAGCATCAGGACCATGATTTGGTTCTACTTTAAAAGGAGCACATAAGAGTTAGTGAAACAGAAGTTTATTTCTTTCACCTTGTTGAACATGATGCCTGCTATTGCGAGCTCTGCTGCCTTGTCTATTTCAGCATCATCAAATATTATTAATGGGGACTTACCTCCTAATTCAAGTGAAACTGGTTTCAAGTTACTCAGTGCTGCAGCTTTCATGACTTCACGCCCTACTTCTGTTGAACCAGTGAAACTGACCTACACATACACAAGAATCAAGGCTAAACTGATTAGGACCGTCAAAGCAAACAAATCAATGTGGTAAGTTTGTCAATTGTAAATACACATAGAACAGTTAATTCCTCACTTCTTTTTGTGATAAGGATTCAATATTTTGCTCAAAGCCTTTTACTTGAGCGGTAACCCACATCCCCCTTAAATGGGAGAGATTGTGGGAACATGCTCAAAGCGGGTGGCAATGTGTCTCCCTTTTATATGTAAGAGGACTAGGTTAAAGGTAAATTCTTTTTTTTTTTTTTAAACAACTATTCAGTATTTTGTGTTATGATCTACTTTGAATTCAAATATTTTTTCTTTAGCCTATTCAACATGGTATTTTTCCATCTACAAAGCTCAAACTCAAAACCTTACTTAAAGGGAAAGTAAGCCTCTTCCATCTGAACCAATCGTTGTTGATTAGTCATTTTTATCACATTGAGATGTAAAGAACTCAGGATTGAATCAATGTAAACAAACAAGTGAAGTACCGCATCAATGTCCATGTGTGAGCTAAGAGCAGCACCAGCAGTAGGACCAAATCCAGGCACAACATTGAGCACTCCATCTGGGATACCAGCCTACACAAAAGATAGATTCTTAACTAGACTTCTATCTAAATATACATAAAAGCTGAGATATTCTTAAGTGGACTTAATCTATCCATATATATACACAAAAGCTTGCTGATAATTTGCAGCATGTGGCATATACCAGTTTGGCAAGATGAGCAAAGAACAAAGCAGAGAGAGGGGTTTGTTCAGCAGGCTTGAGGACCATAGTGCAGCCAGCAGCTAAGGAAGGAGCAACCTTGGAGAAGAACATGAAGGTTGGGAAATTCCATGGAATAATGTGTCCCACCACACCAATTGGTTCAAGAAGTGTGTAAGCTTGGAACTCTCTGCTCATTTTCAGTACATCCCCATGAACCTTATCAGCAGCACCAGCATAGTATCTTAGGGCTGCCACTGCTTGCGGAATTTCAGCATCCTTGCACCAATGGTACAGCTTCCCACAATCAATCGCATCCAATGCTGCTATTTCTTCTTTGTTCTCTTCAACTATTTCTGCCCATTTCATCATTATTCTTGCTCTCTCCTGATCATCATCCCACCGCAAAAAATCAATTTCTTGAAAATTTTGGAGGGGACTCATGATAGGAGCTAAAGGGGGCAAAACGGTCACTTTACATGGGTGTTTTGCATCCCCTCCAAAAAACAAACTCCTTCAACATATTTGCCTCATCTATTTCTATCTCATTCATAACATAGCCTCATACATTTCTATCACATTCATAACATAAAAGCTAGTTAGGAATTATATTTGATTTTAAATATAAGATTTTAGTTCACTTCTCTAAAATATTTACATTTAAAAAAACTTCAACTCAATTACAAATAACTAACTTAACAATCTTTCTAAATCAACTCAATTTTAAGTAGTTATTATATCACATATTTGTCTCATATGTTTCTATCTCATTCATAACATAAAAATTAATTAGGAATTATATTTGATTCTAAATACAAGATTTCAGTTCATTTTGTCTTTTAAATTTTAAATTCATTCTCCAAATATCCCAATTAAAAAAATCTCAATTCATGTTAGATACAAGTAGCTAACTTAACAATCTACTTTAATCAGCTAAATTTTAAGTAGTTATTATATAAAGCTTGACATGCAGGATGCCACTTGGCCAAAGTTATGTAAAGTGACGGCATTCGCCCGTGAGTTCATGTGTGTGTGTGTGTGAGAGAGAGAGAGAGAGAGAGGGTACAGCGCCGGGCAAGCGAGGCCATGGACCGAAATCAAAGGCGTGACGAGCGGCCTTTACCGCAAGATCAACGTCTTCCTTAGTTCCCTCCGCAATACTGGCAATCACCTGCTCTGTTCTCGGATCAATGGTCTCAAACGTCTTTCCTGCTTTTTTTTTAATATATAGATATGGCGTTTAATAATTAATATTGATAAAAAAATATGGTATTTTTATGCTTTTCAATAATAAACAACAATTTCATAGCCTACTCTAAGTCCCACAAGAGTGTCTCCTATTGAATATAGACATGAGAGTTAATTATGAAATGAAAAAAAGAAAAAAACCCCAGAAAGATTCATGTGAGAGGAAGAAAATGAGGAGGGAGATTAAGAAAAGAAACCTGAAATGGAATCAACGAAGTGTCCATTGATGAAAAGCTTGGTGAACTTGATGGTTGGACTCTTTGCAAAACTCTCAGCCTGGTTGCCATTGGAGAAACCGGCCATTTTCTGTGTGTTTGTGTGAGGGGATAAAAGGAAGGAGAGTGATCAAGGCATTTATAAGGGCGCAAGAATAATTAGTTCAAAAAAACTGAGTTTCAAAATTTGGGATCTTTCTGACACTGATTAAAATATAGAAGTTACCCATTTTTGGAGCTGAGACTCCTGAGAATTCCATTTGGGTTATTGTCAAGTGCGGTAAATTTGAGATTTATCCATGGGCATTTAAGTGAACAATCATTATTTCAAATGACACATACTATTTGGATTTATTATGTAACTATTATTAATGAATCTAATTGAGATTAAATATCATGATTTTTTTTGGGCATTAACAATTAACAATAATTGTAATATATTAACCCTTGCGTGCATAGCGTGAACCTCGTTTATTATGGTTATTCCTAAAGAGTGGGGTCTAGTGACCCTGGGATCATTATCCAATATGAAAGAGTCTGTGACCTTGGGAGTAGAGTTTGCCAACTCTGGAATTTTATTTGTTTAAATAATATTTTTTTATTTTTAATGTAAGACTTAATTAACTAATTTGAATATATAAAAAATGTTAGTTAAATTAGTTAGTGTGATACTTTTTGTTAAAACATCCTGAATATTTTTCTTAATTCTCTTTCTTCATTTTTTACTTAATTATTATTTAGGATATATCAATAAGATTAATTTGCGAAAAAATTAATAAACATGTAAAATAGGTCTTACATATAAGACCAGTATTAATTTCATAATTAGCTTCTATATTAAGAATGGGAGGAGTAACATCTTCTTTGCTCCAAAAATCTTATATTAAAGAATAAGAAAGGGTTAAAGTATAAATCTTTGGACATACATTATCCAAAGATCCATGCTAAATAATGTACATGCATGCGTGTCCGATCTTACTGCATCATTATTAATTAATTAACGTATTTGGTGATCATACATGAACGTTTTTTTCTCAGCTAATTAGGTTTTTTGTTTACATTTAGCTCAATAGTTTTATGAATTAATTGGATTCATGAATGTGAAATCGAAGAGTGAATGCTCAAGTCATGAAAGCTATAGAAAAAATTGCAAATAAAGACTCCCAATATATACAATTATGATTTGAGACCCAGAATTTGGAAAATAACAAAAAAAAACCTAGTCCTACTTTTGTAAATATGAAATTGTGGTGATATGTCTAAAATACCCCTTAATCAAATGGCAAATTGACTATGAAAAATGACAAATTTATTTTAACGAATGATAACTTCAATAGACCAAATCACAACTTGGTTGAGGGTAAGTTAAATAACGAGTTAATTATGGAAAATAACAAATTCACTTTAGTGAATGACAACTTCAATAAACCAAATTACAATTTGGTTGAGGGGCATTTTAGATATTTCATCCACATTTCATATTTGCAAAAGTAAACCCAGGTCCTTATTTGTTATTTTCTAAATTTATAGTCCCAAATCGCAATTTTACATGTCAAGAGGTCCTTATTTACAATTTTCTCAAAGCTATATGTGAATAGGGAGAATTCTTGGTCGTATTTCTCTTCATTCTCTACTAAGTTTGTGTGGCTCTCATTGTGAGAAGAAAGAAGGTTGAGTTAATACTATTCTAACCTTCTCCGGACACTTTTTATGTGCATTTGATGTACAAATCAGATCAAATATGCCTCAAGATAGGTTATTTATCTTGTTTCTTATATGTATGCTCAAAGCGTTCTGTGTATTCTTCTTCTTTTTAATTTTTTTCCCCTCATCGTGTGTTTGATTTTACTTGTAACTAAAAAAAACAGAGATGCTAAAGCATTCTTATTGGTTTTCACATTTATATCTTGTATTTTGTTTCAGCATTACGGTTTATGTATAAATGTAATGGTGACTAGATATATTTTTTTAACAGGTTTAAGGGGGTGTTTGGATGAAACAAATTATAGTTTGGAGAATAGATTTTGTGAAAAAGTGATTTTGATAAAATGAGAGTGTTTAGATAATTGTTATCAGAAACACTTTTTATATATACAAATTACTAGAAAAAGTATAAGTTAATATGATAATTACATAAAATATAGATTTTATAATATATTTTAAGTTGAAGGAATAAAATTATTAATAATATATTTTTTACCAACATAATTAATAATATATAAACTAATGTAATTAATAAATAATTAATTTGTGTATATATATTTATAAAATATAAGATTGAATATGTTTATAGAAAAATAATTGAGAGGTGTTAAAATTATATTACCGCTGGAATCTACTCTGACAGGTATAATCATTATCATACTCTCCAATTTGAGTCAAAAGCAAATTTGCTTCTTCTGAAACCATGGTTTTGAGACCAAAATCGTGGTTTGTTGATTTTCCTCCCTGTTTGGCAAATTTTTTACTCAAACTATGGTTTGAGTCCCAAAACCATGGTTTCAGATATTTGCCAAACAGGCCCTAAGTTTTTTTTTTGGGGCTCAAAACACGTTTAAGTTTAGGATTATGAGTTTTTTGAAATTTAAGTTACAATTGTGATTATAATTTTTAATGGATTGAATTGACCCTGATAATAGTTGTTATGACATATCGATTTATGAAGATTTGTAAACGACAGGTTTATTAGTTGAGTTGTAAATTTCGGAGACTTTATAAATTTCAAAAGTTGACTTTTAGATTTGAAAATAACAATGACGTTGATGTTATCAAATATATTAAAGTATTTAACCAAAAAATTATAAATTAAAGTATTAACATTTTAAGAAGATATTATTAATTATTTTTAATTACTTACCGTTGTTGTCACCAATAAAGCGGTTGGTCATGTGGTAGCTAGTTAAATGTTTGGTTAAAATGGTATTATGGTCTTTTACATGAGTTAGAAATAATACTAGTCCATTGACATAATTTTGTATTTTTTTAGCAATTTAATCGATATTAAAAAATTTTATATGGTTCTTATTTGTAATTTTTGAGGCCTTTTTCATAATTTTGTTGATGTAATGGTGAAAGTAATGGATTTTTCAATACTTTAGGGCGTCATTGCACTACTTAATCTAGGATACCCATTACTTTGAGAGAATAATTTAAAGGCAATAATGCATTTTAAACCTTTTTTTTTTTTTTACTTTAATAAGGTTTGTAATTAGCCTTTTTGTCCCAACTACAATTGCACATATTAATCAAATTTAAATTTAAGATCTTTTGACATGTCAATTATTGCAATGGTAAAAAAAAAAAGAGTCACATTCTCATTCTTGAAGAGGAAATAAAAGAAGTGAGCAAAGTTTTCATGCACATCCATTAATCTTTGCATTGGCCCTAAATTGGTCCTCCAAAGTGGCACCAAAAGAGGAAGAAGGAACATCATGTGAAACCAAGAATGCATATTAGTATTATAATACCCACCAATATAATTCACCTCATAACTAAAACAAGCTGATATGATCTTATTATTACTGTAACTTAATTTCTGATTTTCACCCTCTAAACATTATAACTTGGCAGGTAATTGGCAAGCTACAGAAAATGGCAAGTCTCTCTCATCATGTCCATCCTCATTCATCTCTCAATACTCCAACCATCAAGTTCACCAAGCTATTCATCAATGGACAATTCCTTGATTCCATTTCAGGTTCTAACTTCTCCCCTTCTCTCTCTCTCTCTCCATCATTATAAAAGATCTACATTTAGTTTTGTTCTTAACTGTATTATAAAATATTAATAAATTATGAAAAAAAATCACCCATTGAAAATTTTATTATTGAAAGGGAGTAAATAAATTTTTATACAGAAAAAATATCGATACTCTCCAAAATTTTATGCATAGAGTGTTAGAATTCTGAATTACGTCCTTTTTAGCAGTAAATTTTATAATAAAAAGACTTTTCCCGATTTCCCTGTATTTATATTATATGAAGACTCGGAGCTTTGTCAGAAAGTAGAAACCAATATGTACTTAACTGAATGTAACAACAGAACTAAGTAAACACAATTAAAATTTTGTAAGGATATATATAATATGATATAATGGTGGCCAAAAAAAATATATAATATGACATAATTATCATTAAACTTGTTAATCCATTGCATTGAATTTTAAAAATAAGTCATATTATTCATAGTTTGATATAAATTTTGTCAAATATATTGAATATATTAAATTATTATATAGACTTTTAACGAATTTTTATATAGATTTTTTGGTCAGAAAATTTTATTTTATAGATTAAATATGTGTTTGGATTTAAAAAAAAAAAATTGTAAACAGGAAGAGCATTTGAGACTGTGGACCCAAGAACAGAGGAAGTGATCACCGAAGTAGCCGAGGGGACTGAAGAAGACGTTGATCTCGCCGTGAAGGCGGCGCGCGTCGCTTTCGATTCTGGTCCATGGCCGCGCATGACCGGCTCTGTATGTTCACACCTTCGCCTTCTTTTTTCTTCTTTTTGATACTATACAAGTGGCAAATTAAACGGATATATATGGATCGAAGCCATTATTGAAGTAGTAGTACTCAGTAATTAGTAAGTAGCACGCTGAGTGTTCGATGAACTGCCAAGCAGGAGAGAGCGAAGATAATGATGAGATGGGCCGATCTAATTGAAGAGAACTTAGAGGAGATAGCTGCCTTGGACACCATTGATGGGGGTAAGCTATACACGTCGTGTAAGGCGGTTGATATTCCTCATGTAGCTAGTCTTCTTCGTTACTACGCGGGCGCTGCTGATAAGATTCATGGAGAGGTGTTGAAATCGTCAAGGAATTTTCACGCTTATACCTTGATGGAACCTATTGGTGTTGTTGGCCACATCATACCCTGGAATTTCCCTACCCACATGTTCTTCGCCAAAGTTAGTCCTGCCTTGGCTGCTGGCTGCACCATGGTCCTTAAACCTGCTGAGCAAACTCCTCTCTCTGCTCTCTTTTATGCTTATCTTTCTCAGCTGGTATAGTTCCTCAAGCTTGATAATTGATAAATATGGTTCAGTCATATGATCATATCATTGTTTAAATAGGTATTTCGGTTTAATTGAGTTCGTTGCCCTTTATTAAGGTCTAGTAACTCAAGCTTGGACTTGGTCAATGCTTGTTTGTATATACTGAATATTGTTTTGTTTAGATTCGAGAAAGAACAGGTTTGTGCATAGATTTTTTGAAGTTTCTGTTACTAAACTTTCTCATCAAAGTGTGAATACTATTTTATGACTAAATCCTATAATATATATTTTTGTTTTTTCAAAAAAGAGTATTCCCCATATTCTTTTTTTTGGGGGGGGGGGGTGGTAAGATCCACATTTCCTATTTTTATTGCAAGTATTGTTAGCAGAACTGCAAGGCTATTACATAAGTTGTTCCTGCTTTTACTCCTTGATAAATGTTCTTCTTTACGTTAGTTTGATGATCTCTATTAGCAAATGGCATTTTCTATTAAGAAATTGCTGAAGAATCAATCTAGGGTCACTTCCATTAGTGAGGGAATTTTTGTCTCAGTTGTCACTTTTCTTATGCTTGATCTGTGGAATTAAATCATATAGTAAACAAATGAAAAATGAGACATAATCAATGAAAATATAAAGAATGATAGAGAATAATATGTACAATGTTTTTTAAAAAAATCGGAGTGTAGAAATTAATGTATTATGGTATTGAGAGTGCTCAAACCAAGCACGTCAAAATTTGAAGTCATATATGATATAGGCCCTGTATTCTACACTATACCAGTTTCAATTTGAGCTCGTTGACTGATCAGAGAAAATATAAATTAGGCGGAGTATGAAAACAGAACAACCTACTTGATGAACAGCATACTTCATTGACGGATTGGGTTTTTCGTACACTTATTTGTATGCTGGATATAGTTTTGTTTACTTTTGGAGAAAAATTTTATGCATATATTTTTAAGTGTTTGTTACTAAACTTTCCCGTGAAAGTTTAAAAATATAACTTAATCCTATATAATTGTGTTGTTTTAAAAGGTTTTTCACATATTCTATTTTTATTCTAAGTTCTTTTAGTAAAGCTGGAAGAATTTTACATAGTTTTTCTTTTCTTTTATTTACTTTCCCCCGGATACAGGTCCTTCTTTAAGCAAATTTCCTTATTTCTACTAGCAAATAGCATTTATCTGAAAATCGTTGAAGAATCAAATGTGTGACTTCCTTTAAGTTTGGAGGATATTTTTGTTTGAGTAGTCACTTTTTGTTATGCTTGATATGCGAAATTAAATGATGAAGTAAACAAATGCAAAATAAAATGTAATGAATGAAAATATACAGAATGATAACGAGTAACCATATGCATAATGTAAAATTTTGCTAGTGAATAAATTAATGTATTGTAGTATTGCAAATGCTCAATTTAAGCTCATTTGACTAGTTAGATGCAATAAATTAGGCCGAACATGAAAATGCAACCTACTTGATGAACACCGTATTTAGATTCATGCAATTTCTTGAAGACTATGCTTAATTGTATTTTTCTCTGTGAAGGCTGGAATCCCAGACGGGGTGCTCAATGTGATACCTGGGTTTGGCCGGACTGCTGGTGCTGCAATAAGCTCTCATATGAACATTGATGCGGTAATTTGCATGCATATCATGTATTTGGGAGTTTCATAGCATTGGGTTAAAGACTATTTTCCATTTGACTCTATCAAAGCTGATAAAGAAATCTGGGTTTTCTATTTGAAGGTGAGTTTTACTGGTTCAACAGAAACTGGTCGTCGAGTAATGCAGGCAGCAGCAATGAGTAATTTGAAACCAGTTTCACTGGAATTAGGAGGCAAGTCACCCCTCATAATTTTCAATGATGCTGATGTTGACAGGGCCGTTGATCTTGCCCTGTTTGGCATCTTATGCAACAAGGTAAAATTGCTTTTTCAGGATGTATATTTCTGCTTCACAAAAACAAGCTACACTTTCAGTGGTTGATCTTCTTGGATTGGAGCTTTCAGGGGGAGGTTTGTGTTGCAAGTTCCAGAGTTTATGTTCATGAAGGGATTTATGAGGAATTTGAGAAGAAGGTGGTGGAGAAATCCAAAGCTTGGGTGGTGGGAGACCCTTTTGATCCTAAAGTTCAGCAAGGACCCCAGGTAGGATGGTTTAAGCAAGCACGACTATCTTCAGACGCTGTATCTCAAACAAAATTCTCTGATACTTTGTAACACTATTGCAGGTTGACAAGAAGCAATTTGATAAAATTCTTTCATATATTGAGCACGGAAAGAGAGAAGGAGCCACTTTGTTGACTGGGGGTAAGCGAGTGGGCAACAAGGGATACTATATTGAACCCACAATTTTTACCAACGTAAAGGTGCATTTCAGACCCAAAACTCTTGGAACTGGCTGTTTTTAATATAACAGAAAATTAACCATGGAATTTCCTTTCTTTTTCAAAGGAGGACATGCTAATAGCGCAGGACGAAATATTTGGGCCTGTGATGACACTATTTAAGTTCAAGTAAGTTCACGATTCTGCATTCCATTTAACTGGGGCTTGTGAGGTTGAATGTTGAACTAAGCATGAAATATGAACAATAGGAGCATTGAGGAAGCAATAAGGAGTGCCAACAACACCAGATATGGCCTAGCAGCTGGGATTGTGACGAAGAACTTGGATATAGCAAACACAGTGTCAAGGAACATTCGTGCAGGCATTGTTTGGATCAACTGCTATTTTGCCTTTGATAATGACTTCCCTTATGGAGGGTACAAGATGAGCGGATTTGGAAGAGATTATGGACTTCATGCCCTTCACAAATATCTTCAAGTTAAATCTGTTGTAACGCCTATTTACAATTCTCCTTGGCTTTGAATTTGTGTCCCCTCACTCTGATAATCTACTGAGTAAGCAATAAGGGAATCTGCTTAGCTTTCTGTTTGAATTGTGTATTGAAAAATGAGTTCCCTGTTTAGTTTTTGAATTACGGTCTCGTAATCTTTCTTTATATCACCAAAACAAAGTTGTCATTTCTACTTCAAAACACTTTGTCCCTCACATTTCTCAGCTTCATGCAGAGTTGATCATTTTAATCAGGGACATAAAGTACACAAATTTCCTAGGCTAGAAAAATCCCCACTTTCCAAATGCTCTCTAGAAGGATCAGCAAACCGAATAGAAAAAGATGTAAAGAGATAATCCGGTTCATTCTGTGAAGAACGTTGATAAAAATTCCGAGAGTAAGAAAATATATCACAAGGGACCTTGAGGGACTTCCCTTTCTCGAGCTTCGTCCTCAACTTACATGATTCAGTGAATGATAAGTTTCTGATATCCGTGGACGCACTAGAATCAGAAAGCTTCTCATGGTTGAACTTGGAATCCCCAGTGTTTACAAACAAGCACGTGGGTTTGGGATTGAAATGATAGAATGGTTAGTTCACTGAATATAGTTACTATTTTTTTTTATTGGAATATCTTTTTTGGAGCAACATTGCCTTGTTGAGCTGTGGTACTTGATCTAACTTTCATTTAGATGATGGGATGCCTATGTGGTATTTGATTATGGTTGCCAGACGGTTTTTACAACAATTGTTTCATATAGAAAATTTTCAAGATAAAAAGAATAAAATATGATAAGAAATGACATAAAATTATCTAATAAAACTAATAAAGAACAAATATAATTACTAAAATTTTATATTGACATAGATACATATGCGCAAATATGATTTAAAAAAAATTGTTTCATGTCACAAAAAAAAAAATTGTTTCATTTAATAATAGAACTTACACTCCCATATGATGTCAATTTCCCGAGAACTCAGGTTTTAAGTTTTCACAGCTTTTATACAAGAGAATTCCAATGAGGTCTAAGATTAAAAAAAAAAAAAAATTATAAAACAAGTTTAAGAGGTTGTAATTTTTTATTTTAGAATTTATCATTACAAACTATGTTGTTGAAACTTTTTAATAATTATTTTTTTAAGACTTGATTGTAATTTTTTTTTTTTATATTCAGTTTTTACAGTTAAGTGCGGACCACTTCACAAATGGATTTAAAACTTTAAATTAAGCGGACCAACCTTAAATTCCACAACATTCAAAAGTCAAAACTGTTCGCTTGACCAGCTGTACGCGCTTGTAACGGAATCCAATCTCTGCTGGCTCCATTCTAGAATTCTTACTGATTGGAAAAGTAACACGAATCGATGCCGTAACCAAGTGGGCTTCGAGCTGTTCCTTTCAGATCATTCCAACTTTTCCAGAATTTAAAATCTTTTTAATTATATTTAGAAGCATTGGGGTGAGAAGAAATGAAGAAAGAAAGAAATCAATCAGTAGCGTAGTCTGGAAATGGACAAATGAAAGAGTATAACCTTATCGTTAAATTGCAACAATGGAGTGATGAAAGAATATCAATTTTATTGCTAATTACAATACAAAGATATCGGAATTCCCTCGACTAAGTATGGAGGAAAAAGAATACTGGAAAATGAATCAGGGGATCAAAATAATCCCAAATCAATGGAACATGTAAGTAATCGCGAGCGCAACCAGCATGAGAAAATAAGCGATTCCTTGATCAATGGCAGCTCCTGCAAAACAAACCCCAAAATAAAGACTCAGAAAAATCCAGATTTGGAACTTTGGGAGGAAGATCGATGAGAAAAAGAAGAAACCAACCAAGATTGTGAAAACTAACCGTCACTCGAAGGAGGAGGGGATGGGGAAGAAGCGAGATCCTGAGCTTGGCCGAGATAAGAGAACGCCATGAGTAGAATACTGAAAAATGGGAAGGCGAAGAGTCTGAATGATCTCATGGTAAGAAAACAGAGCCCAGCAAAATGGAAAGAATTGGAGGTAGGAGAAGGGGAGGGGATTTAGATTAGGGTTTGGGAATGAAGAGATAGATGCAAGGAGCGAGGGAGGAGAGAGATTTATAGGGAGAGAAAAGTGGGGGTTTTGAGTAAATTCGAAGAAACTGGGGCGAGAAGGAAGAGTCAGCGGAAGAGGTGGCCGCCTGTTGACTTTGACTGCGGAGCCGAAGCGCACATTGAAGAAGCTCATTTCCATTTGTCTACCGCTTAGTGGTCAACACTCAACACGCGTTAGAAAAAAACAAAACAAGAACAAAAGTGCCACGCAAATAAAATTAAAAAACAAAAAGTGCTAGGCAAAATTTATAAGATGTAATGTGAAAGAGAGAAATAATAAGAAGAAAGATGAAAGAGAATTTATAGAAAAAAATGATGATATAATTATTTAGGGATAAAATTGATAAAAAAATATTTAATATTTAGAAAATTCCAAATCCTACCTCTTCCAATTCTTTTTATAAGTTTTGATTTTTGAATGAGTGTGATCCTTTTTATAAATTACATTATACCTTGAAAATGTCCGAACATTTAATTCATTTGTTTTTTTATTCTTAATTAATTATATGTTTTTCTCACTTTCACTTGCCTTTTTCACATCACATTCTCTCTCATATATTTCTTTTATTCATTTTGCTATCTCTCGCTCACACTCCCGAGTGTTATGAAAAAAAAAATTGTATTTTTAATCAATTTTAACTAATTTTTTTTAATTTGGTAATTTAGTTATTTGAAAAAAATATAGTCATTTAAGATTAATACTGTTAGGGTTAGAGGGTTTAAGAGATATTTTATATAAAATTATAAGAGCAAATGTGACTGTTATCATTAGAATAAAATCAATGATAAAATTAAACGGAAGGGAAAACGTAATTGACTTTTATAAATTAAAAAAATTTAAATGGTCTTTAACTTAATTATTTAACTCAGTTGCAGATAATGAAATTTTAGTTAAACACTACGAGAAATACAAATATTTTAATGCTTCGTGAGAAGCCTTGTTTGATTATCATTATTATTTCTTTTGTGAGAGTTGAAGTTCTGGAAGGAAATCGCGCCTGAATTGTAGACCTTTTTGTCTTTAATCACTGTTGGTTGTTAACCTTTCCTTTTCAGTATATGTTTTTTTTTTTTTTTTTTGCCCTCTTCCTTTTCAGCATACGTAACTGTTATATAAACATATATACACACACACACACACACATACATATATATATGTATATATATATTTTTTGGCCAAATATATATTTATATTTATATGTGAAACCCTACCTTCCACGGTCAATACTAGGTTCTAGAATTGAACTACCGTTTTATATACTCGATCATCATATGTGCGCGTGCATGCATAAACGCGTTTTTTTCTCTCAATATTACACTATACTATATCAATAGATTAATGGGTGAGATTCGTGTTTTGGATGAAATTGGTGTTATGAATTTTATATTACATATTAATTTATATATAATGAAAATTGTGAAAATTAAATGATTTAAAACACACACAAGAAGTTTGGTTTTGTCATGACTTCACTCTTGAGGCTTCTCCTCTCTCTTGGGCTTTTGAAGTTACCCATGCCATACTTCTAGAAATGTTACATAGGAGCTAAATAATTAATTTATAAATATTAGAAAACTTTAATTAAGTTAAATATTTGTTAAAAATGTATGTTGATTTTCTTGAAATATTTTCTTTAATAATTTGTATTAGAACTATACCTCTTGATAGAAACTCCCTTAATATATAATTAATAAGAATAATTTAAAAATAAATATAAATTTGAGAGATAAAATTAATTATTCAAAAGTAATTGAGTTTGACAGGTCTTGCACTTTCTTACAATGGCTCATTTATAATTTTTATAATTATAAAAATTAAGCTGGCTACAGCCTACAGCTATGAAAATTATAAAAATTCACGAGTGAATTCAAGGGAGATAATATAGAGATAAAACTTATGAAGAATCTTAGCGTGTTCACCGGGAATTCAAGGGCGATAATAATATACTAGCTCAGGTTCTAATTATAAGAGTCAGTTGACTAATTTGAAGAGATTAAAAAAGTAAGTTGAGTTAGTTATTTGGCTTAAATAGGTGTTATCTTTCCTAAAATATCATTGCTAATAAAGTGTATTAAATAGAACTATAATTATTAGAAGGATTATATTGAGAAAAAATGAGTAAATATGAGAGACAAGTGGATTAGGGTTTTATATTTAGGACCAAAATAAAAATCAAACAGGGTCTTATATTAAGAACCGGAAGTAGTAATATAGACAAGAAACTTTCAATTATCTAAGAAAATGGTCGGTTAATATTTCTGAAAATAATTTTAAAATACTATACTTAACGTTTAACAATGTCATCAGTACCTTTCATTTATTAGAAGATATTCCTGAATCCTAAATATAGGATTTAGTTAAGGGTTTGATTTTAATCTTAAGTTAAAAAAATTATTTATTTTATCTCCCTTCATCATTTCCCTCCCAAAACAATTTATCAAACTTAGAGAATGATATATAATTTAATATTACATGAGAATATTTCAAGAAAATTATCATATTTCATTTGCTAGAATTAAGTAATTTATTTATCTTTTTTAATTTATCAAATTAATTAAGTAATTTTTACATTAAAGAGTAGCGGATTATGTGTAAATTGTAATGAGAAAAGGTTGTGTAAGCCTTAAGAGTTTATATTCTTTTGGTTGGGTAATAGATATAAATTAAAATATGGGATTATCATGCTTCATAAGCTGTATCCAGCATTTTAAAATATTTTTATAGGTATATTTAATATTTTAAAATATTTTGTAATGTAACTAATTTTCTGCACTTATCTTTCATATTTTTTTAGTACTTATCCTTAACACTTTTAATAATCAATTTTGCAATTTTTTAGTAGTTGTCTTAAATAGTTTTTAGACTTCTCTTCTCTGCTTTCAATCCTAATCTTTAATTATTTTCAATACCGAAAACATGGAAGATAAGCACCCTCACTTAACAGACTTTTTGAAAGTTAACATAGAGGTTAAAATTACTCCTAAAAAATATTTTAAGAAAAAAAATTGAATTACAAGATATTTTAAAATATTATATGCACATAAAAAATACTTTAAAGTATTGGATGCATTAAAAAATATTTTAAAATTTTTAATGAACCATAAAATACTTTAAAATTTTAGACACACATGAAAAAATATTTTAGAATGCTTGATCAATAAACAATGAGAATTAACATACGGTAAGAAGATCAACATGAAGGCTTCAATATGAAAAAAGCATTGATGTTTTTATATATTAATTATTTGATTATATACTTTTAATATCAATTTATTAATAAAAGTAAACTGTTACGAGTTCACGATCCAAGTTTACAATATGAGTTTATATCATTCTCACGAGTTTGTTTAAATTCGCGAGTTTGACAACCTTGATCACACTCATATAAATTCAAAATATGATTACAATAGATAAAAATTCATATCCCATTCAAGCTTAATTACCACTAAGTTCTTGATTAAAAATCAGGATGTTATAGGGGATAATATCATCAAAGATCATCATCGTCAAAGGTGGCAAATACGGCTGCATCAGCATCGTCAGGTGCTTCATCATTGCCACCAGGGTGTTGCCTGTGAATATTATCTTCTTTGGTGCAGCGATAGCCACCTCGCGGTTTTGTTTCCCTATGTACAACTGTAGCCACCCAGAAAACGTGTTTACGAGGAAGAGATATCCACACCCTTATAAGGAGTGCTTCATTCTTCTTTCCAGCGGATGTGGGACTTCAAAATCCACCCTCTTTAGGGCCAATATCCTTGCTGGTACACCGATCCGATCCTGATTTTGATACCAAAATATAACATCCTTAGGTCCCGAATCGCAGCCATAACCACCCCAATGTGGGACTTCACAATCCACCTTTTGTAGGGCCCATTGTCCTCGCTAGCACATCGATCCGACCTTGACTCCGATACCAAAATATAACATCCTTATGTCTCAAAGTACAGTTGTACCCACCCTAATATGGGACTTCACAATCCATCCCCTTGGGGCCTAGCGTCCTCACTCTGATACCAAAATGTAATATCTCCTGGTCTCGAAGTGCAACCATAGCCACCCCAAGGTGTCGCCAGTAGATCATTTCTGCTTTGGTGCAACCATAGCCATCTCATAGTTTTGTTTCCTTGGGTGCAGTCGTAACTACTTAGAAAACATGTTTAAGAGAAAGAGGTATCTGTAACCTTATAAGGCATGTTTCGTTCTCTTCTTCGACTAATATGGGACTTCACAGTCTTCATTTGTATCATCACTATGATCATTAAGGGCTTCATCAACTTCATCAGTATCACTCGGGGCTTCATCATTATCATCATCAATGGCTTCATCGACATCACCACCACCATCATCAGGGGCTTTATCAGCATCATCACCACCATTATTAGGGGCTGCAATAAAATTACGAGCAGAGTGGGGGCATACTAATATTGCCCTCAAGTTGTTATCTTGAAAGCAATTGTCCCATAACAACCAAAGTACAAAAATTGATCGTGCTGAAAACTGAGCCTCACTCAGTAATTAGTCCCAATAAGTACCAGAAATGATAGGAAACTCAAGATCATAAGTATTTTTATGGGCTTGCATGTTGAGTATATGTGAATGTCCAGTGCTGTCATGCAATATTATTATGTTATTTCTCATAAGAGGATTAATTGTTTCAGCTACACCACTTGACAATCATAGAACCCGACAACTTGAAGTTAAACTACGAGTGAATGTGATGCTGAATGTATCAAGAGCAAGTGAGGTTCACCAACAAGTGGATTTCGCCCTATAAGACTAGTAATATCTTTGGTATGTCTTTTTATATTGTCATCCTCAAATCAAAGATTGTGAAAATCACTGATGAGCCTACTGAGTTCAGTTACTGGATGCCTAGATTATGAGGTTGATTAACTATGTTGACAACTCTAGATGGAGGGTTTCTTGACATTTTTTTCAGTCTACTAAAAATAAATAAAAAAATAT